AAAGTAATTACCAAACAAGGAAAAATGCTTTCACCTCTGTATAGATTTTCTCTCTCTAAAAGCTAGAGGAGAAAGATTGAGGCTGGAGTCTTAACTCCGTTCAACTACCATCTTGTATTGGCTGTCACTATTGAGGACATTCTTAATGTTGACATAAAGTCAAATTCTGTCCAATATTTGTAGTTTCAATTAGATTAGATGTAACCAACTATATTGCTTGGAATTATCAGATTACTGCAATACTTAGAGCACATTCTCTACTTGGATTTGTTGATGGATCAATGGCATGTCCTAGTCAATTTCTTATTGATGAGGTAGGACAAATCACAATACAGATTAATTCATACTTAAATTTGAATAAAAAAATAATTGAAAATTTTGATTTGATACACAGATACTCTAATAGACAAATTCAAATTTAAAGAAAAAGAAATTCAAATTTAAAGGAATGAAAAGTATGGTCATTGGATCTTTTAAAATAAGAAAATCTAACCATTGAAAATTTGAGTAAATATTTGAGTCTATCTTGGTTTGAGTAAATATTTGAGTCTGCCTTGATTTAAGTAGAAAGTTTAATCTTCCTTCATTTGGTATAAATTTGAGTCAAAAATTTAAATTTATTTTTAGTCTATTTTTATTAAAATTTAAATTTAAGTAAGAGTTTGAATATGAAGCAGAGATGAAATTATGGAGGACAACCCGAAGGAGCCACAGCTGCGCTACAGGCAGTACAAAAAAGGTTAAAGGGTACCACCTGGATGACCAAATGCTGGTGGACCCAAAAAAAATTAACAAAACCCAACAGTTCTAGAATATGAAATGCTCGACAGCAGGGAATGCTCTCAAGAACAGAGACCAAGAAATTACAGGGGAGCACTTATGGATTATAACAATGTGATTAATTCGGATGAAGCTATTTTGGAAGAGTTCTCCAACGAGGAGACTTCAACTGAATACAGAAGGAAAAAGAGGATGGCACTGATCGAACAGCCATCGATTCCTCTGATGAGCTATGCCCGAAAGCCAAACTACCAAAAAAGACTCTTCAAAGGATTAGGAATAGATGGAAAGATGGTCTGTTGGTCAAACTACTAGGAAGGAATATTGGTTATTAACTTCTTTGTAAGAAGGTGAGGAATCTATGGGGTTTACAGGGAAACTTTGAAGCTATCGACCTTGACAATGGTTTTTTTCTTTTCAAATTCCAAATGAAGGAGGATTGCTTTAAAGTCAATATTGGTGGTCCTTGGGTGATTATGAATCACTACTTGATTGTTAGAAATTGGGAGCCTGATTTTGTTCTGTCTCTTGCGTCGGAGATTACCATAGCAGTCTGGTTTCGTCTCCTTGCGCTTCCACTTGAGTACTGAGAAGGGAGAACCCTTTTCCAGTTTGCAAAGGCTTTGGGTAAGCCTATTAAAGTGAACAACAGAACAAGGTAAGTTTGCCAGAGTTTGCATTGAAAGAGAGCCACTTGTTTCACATTATAGACTAGCAACTGACTATTTAGAGTGAAATATGAACGTCTACATTCGATATGCTTTCCCTGCAGAAGGGTGGGTCACTTGAAAAATTCCTACCAGCACACAATCAATAAATCTACAATTACGCCGACCACCGAAGATCATAATTCCGCTGGAGCAATGGTCACAAGATCTAACCGTGCAATGACCGACAGATCCCAACCGTCATCTGCCAACTTGAGCCCAATGCAATTAGAAGAAGAAGGGCCTGAGTATGGACGGTGGATGCTAGCCCAATCTAGAAGAAGAAGAACCCAGCCCTTAAGGAAGAATCTGAGTCCACAAGCCTAGAAAAATTCTAACAGATTTCAGGCTCTAGAGATGATGCCTCAAAACAACTCACAAGCCCAAATTATAACAGGTCCAAGTCGGCCCTTAAGCCCTATTCATAGACAGCAGTATACACATCAAAGAAGAGTCCCAACAACGGGTCAAAGAAGACCAAGGGATCAAATATCCCAAAATAATTCAAATCAACCTAGAGTCCAAGGTAAAGTAAACCGCATGGGGACACAACTTCTCAGGGATGAAATTTTTGAATCCTCAAAAATGGTGAATAGATCCAAGAGCCAAAAACAAGCTTTGGAAAAAGCTATGAATCCATCGGCGGTTATCCCTTTTGGGGGATGTTTAGCAAAGTTTTGGTGGATTGGACTGATTTGAATTCTTAATTTAAATCTATCCAATGAAAACCTAATAATTTGGATAAATTATTGGATAAAAATAAATAGTTTTATTTAATACTTAGTTGGAAAAGTAATTTATGATATTATGGGGCCCACAGACAAAACTTTGTATTTTTGGTCAAAACTCTTTGCATTCACATTAATTTACCATTTTAACCTTCAATCCTATTTAAACCAATCTCAAACTTGGCTTTGGAATTTTTGAGGTCCACCTTAATATTTCATTGCAATGTTCAGATGTGTGACAAAGGGCAAAACCAAAGTTTAATTGGATCCACTACTTTCAAATTTGACAAAGGCGACCACAAATATAATAGATCAAAATATTGTACTAAAATGAATTGAAATAAAAAAAACAACAAATGAATGCAAGATTTGAAATTAAATAAACATATTTCATTAACACACGTTGCCTTATACAAAAATACACAAAAATAAGGCAACCTAGTTCAGAAATATAAGTAACACATATGGTCATATTAACTGTTGCCTTGAACTGTAAATACAAAATAAAGGCAACCATATATGGTAATTAAGCTAAAGCTACATGCACACGCTACTATGTGTGTCAGAACAACCAAAATGGCTCATGCCAATTACCAAGTTTGATACATATATGTAATACATACAAATACCAATAGTAATTGACAAAATGCTTTCATAGCGATTGTGAAGAAGTCAATTATCAAAGACTATAATATCCATTGGCTTGATAGAATTAACCGATGGGGACAAACTAACACTTTCCCCGTCTTGAATGCTTGAACTTCCTCTATATTTTTTGAAAATAACCCAAAAATACTGAAGGTTTGGGCTCGGGGCTAGACAATGATTTGCACAAACGCATCTTCCTACATGTATAATGTACAATCATATGTTAGTGAAGTGAATAACAATGAGAAGGTTCATAATTGTAATGTACCTAAGGAAGCTACAAGCAAGGAATATCACTTACTTCCAAGTAATCATATGCTCCATCTAAGGGTCCTTCGACAATACATTTCTACAAAGGGTTCCATGCAAAAAAAGCCACAATCAAGCATGACAGAAATAGTATAATATTTTCTCTCTCAAAAGGAAGTGATTCGTAGTAGCTCAGTAAAAGACAAGCAAAAGCTTCGCATGCATTGTTTTAGTAAGTGCAGCATATTGTTGATCATTTTGTGTGTGTAATGGCCCAAAGGTGGTAATTTCACTCAACTTTTGTAGTCAAGTAGTGTGCCAATGAGCACATCCGAGTCATCCTCCGTAATGGGAGGAGCCAACACACCCAGCTTGTGAGCGAAATTGGCGAGAAGAGAGCTTGGAAGACTTTTGGAAAAAATGTCGGCTAGCTGGTGGCCAAAGTTATAAACCGAACATGCAATGATCCGGAGGCTACCTTGTCTCAAACAAAATGATAGTCGAGTTTGATGTGTTTGGTGTGGGCATTGATGACCGGATTAAAGGCCATGGATAGGGCACTATTGTAATCACAGAATAAAGTGGGAATCTTGGGTAAGGTGACCTGTAAATCTTGAAGCTAGTAGGTTATCCAAGTTATATCGGCGGCTACATGAGCAAGAGCTCTATATTGGGCTTCGACACTCAAGCGAGCAATGGTAGGCTGTTTCTTGGAGCTCCAAGATATACATGTACCACCTAGGAAGATGGTTTAGCTGGTGGTAGTTCAACGGGTGTCCTGGCAACTTGCCCAATCGGAATCACTATACCCAATTAAATCAAGAGAAGTGAGATGACTAAGAAAAAGTCCATGACATAAGGTGCCTTTCACATAACAAAGGATGCGCTTAACCACGTGGAGGTGGTTGGTTGTAGGAGAATGCATATGTTGACAGACCAAATTAATGCTAAAGGCAATATCAAGTCGTGTTATCGTTAAATATTATAGGGCTCCTACAAGACTCCAAAAATAAGTGGGATCTTCAAGGGGAAGACCAAAATTGAGAGCTTTTGGTTTATATTCATGGGTGTTTGAATTGGTTTGCAGTCCAACATGGAGGCACAGTTGAGCAAGTCGTGAGCATACTTGGCCTGAGAAAGAAACATGCGAGGAGAAGAGAAGGCTTCAATGCCCAAGGAGTAGTGAAGAGGGCCAAGGTCCTTTATGGAGAATTCAAGACTTAGTTTGGCGATTGTATCATGGAGAAGAAGGTCCAAGCTGTTGGTGTGATCATGTCATCGACGTAGAGTAAGATAACAATGAGAGCACCATGACCATGAAGAGTGAACATTGAATGGTCTACTAGGTTTTAATGGAATCCGATTGTATATAGGTGATGACTAAATCGTTCAAACCGAGCGCGTGGTGCTTGACGGAGGCCGCAGAGTGCTTTGTGAAGATGACCCACATGTTATGGGCAAGTAGAGTCAGTGAAGCCAGGTGGTTGTGAAACATAAAACTCCTCTTTGAGAGTCCTGTGCAACAAGGTGTTTTTGATGTCTAATTGGTGGATAGTCCAGTCGTGAGCAACGGCCACAGAGAGTATGGTTCGACTAGTAGTGGCCTTGAGGACGGGCGTGAAAGTCTCATCGAAATCAATGCCATGAAGTTGGAAATGTCCCTTAGCGACAAGCCGAGCTTTATGATGCTCAATGGTGCCGTAGGGTAGAAATTTGGTCTTGAATACCCATTTTGTGGGATGACATGCATGTCGTGATGACGCAGAACCAAGACCCATGTGTGATTATGATGAAGCACATCCAACTCGTCCTCCATTGCAATAGAAGACAAAATATTTAAAAGATAAAAAGTATTATTAGACCAAAAATTTATTGGTAATTGGCACGATTAAAAGGCCTCCATTGCAACACGCCAATGAAGAATCTGTAACGCTGCAGTGACAGAGGTGGGTTCATCAGCAGCATCCAAGGTAGCAACGAAGCAAGAATGACTAGGAGAAATAGCCAAGGACACAACAGAATCATGGGTAGGTGGGGAACAATGTGCCTTTCGGTGGAAGTGGAAGTAGGGACAGACGAGGTCTGTTGAGGCAATGGTGGTTGAAGAGGAATGACGACTTCTAAGTGTCCACCAGTTGGAGTGAGGCAATCCAGGTGGGGTGATGTCAGCTGGTCCAGTGGCTGAATCAAAGTTGCTGGGTGGAGCAGCGAAGGAGGAGGCTATTTGGAAATAGCTTCAGCAACCACCAATAAGGAGGGGGCAACAGTGGAGCAGTGGGTAGTGGCCTTTGAGGAGGACGAAACATCTTAGGATAAAGCCAGTGGTCCAGGTGATCGGATTGAAGAGTTGCACCTTGGAGAGTGGACCATAATTGAAGAGAGCCACGGGAACGACAAGGAAATATAGTTTCGTTGAAAATGATGTGGCGAGAAATATGCACTTGGCCTGATGATGGTTCCAAACAACGAGATCCCTTATGAAATTCACTGATGCCCAAGAAAATACATGGTAAACTCTTTGGGCTAAATTTGTGTTTCTAATACTCCCGTAACGCCGGATAACATAAACACCCAAAAGGTTGAATTAAAGAATAATCGGCATTGTGGTCAAAGAGCATGTAAAATGGGTTGTTATTATTCAAAGCAGGTGAGGATCGCCTGTTAATTAGATAAACCGTCATAGAGAAAGCTTCAACCCACAAGTGGAGTGGGGTTTGACTGTGGAATAAAAGGGTTAAACGCATTTCTGTAAGATATCTATGTTTGCATTAGACCATCCAATTTTACCGAGGAGTGTGAGGACAGGATAGTTGCCGAACAATACTGATACCTTTATGGGCCAAAAAATTATCAAAAGGACCATAAGTGTATTCACCAGCTAATTACAAATTATATTTCGAAAGATTGCTCAAATTTTAATTTACACCCTCAAAAATAAAAATTTATACTAATGCGCACCTGAAACTAATAGCCATCAATTTGCCATCTAAAACTAAATGAATAAATTATATCAAGATCTTCTCATACTTATCACTTAATCATTTAGAATCCCTCATATTTAAAATATTATTTCTATACCTTCTGACGTTTGTGCACGTGTAACACAGAATCCCTTGTTGTTGATATCTGCTAATATAACCGTAAAAAAAATATGATTTCATCCTAATAAAAAATTATAATTTTCATACTATTTTTTATTTTGTGAGCCCGTTATACTCTAAAATTCAAAATTAAATTTACAATTTGAATGCCTATTATATTGTTGGTATTTATAATATTATTTATATCCAATGCAATATATCGCTTAAACAGAATTATTTGGATGCACAATTGGGAGAATATTTTTAGTCATATTTGGATTCTAAAGAGATGTAGGTGTAATATTTCAAACGTGAGGGGTCTAGGTGATTAAGTGACAAGCATGAAGGAGTCTAGATAAAATTTATCTATTTAGTTTTAGATGGCAAAATAATAATTGTTAGCTTGAGGTGGGCATTGATATAAATTTTTATCTATAAGAGTGCAATTTAAGATTTTTAATATTTGAGGGTGTAAATTGAGATTCGAACGATCTTTCAAGATACAATTTGAGATTAAACCTAATTTGACATATTGGCAATCATTATCTCAAATTTAACAAAACATGACAGAACATCAAAATTGTTCTTCATAGGATAAAACCAAGTGTACTGAGCAGCATCATCCACAAATATAACATAATAGCATAAATAAAAAAGAGAGGCAATGGGAGCTGGCCCCAAACATCCGAATAAGTTTTAATAAATTTTTTATTACATCTAGAATCACTTAAACTGAAAGGTAAATGACACCATTTGCCAAGCTGACAACTACCGCAAGAGTGATTATTAGAAAGACTAGAAGAATCAAAAGAAATTAAAGACTGTTGTCGTAGTTTCTTGAGCCCCCGAAGAGAAGGATGGCCAAGGCGTTGATGCCACACGTCAGCTATTACTTTAGCATTTGAAGAAGGATGAATAGCCACCAATATGGCGTTCGTGGTGGAAATGCGTAGAGACCTCTAAATCTATGACCTGTCATTAGGTTTTTGTCCTTTCTTGGGATCCTTGATAAAGAAACCAAGACTAGCAAGGACAAAATGAATCTTGTCGGCTTCCGAAAGTGGCGCACCAATGGCAGCAAGAGTATCGAACATCCCTTTAAGTTGACAAAGGTAATTAGAAATTGTCAAAGTTCACTTTTTGGTAATATTGAGTTGATGACGAATAGAATGAATCCGGGCTTGAGAACATTGATGGCATGTGTTAGCAAGGAACTTCCATGTGTCGTTAGAGGTATCTAACCCCACAACTTCTGTCATATTACATTAATTCTGCTACAGTAATCTTTATTCTTTCTACTCCTGTTGTCAATGGTTTACGGGGACCACAAAGACGGCCTCACTCATATCTCTGAGATATGGCCTAACGCCCCTATGCAACTTGGGTGCAGAATAGAAATCAGAAAGAATAGCATTATAATAGAACTATAGTAAAAAATGCAAAGTAGCATTAGCATAATAGAATTAAATCAAGATAATATATATATATATACTAGGAAGCATGGATATATATAAGTGATACGGGTACAATACGATACGGATAGGGCGATACGACAAAACTTAAAAAAAACAGGATACAAGTACAGCCTGGATACGCCTATAATAAAATATATTTTATATTTTACTATTATTTAACGACTTAAAAATTATAATTTTTCAATAATTCTTTAATATTAGTAATTAAAATTAAGAATTTTTACCATGAAAAGAATGTAATATCGTTTCATTATGATATGTTCATAAAATGAGCATAACTTATTCAACTAATTGTACTACAAAAAAAAAGAGTTTTTACGAAAGTAAAGTGCTGTTATAAAAAATTTATTTTCTGTCACAAATACTTTTTGTGGCAGTGTTGTGGCGGCATTGCTTCGCCTTAATAAGTGTGGTCTCAAAAGATTTTTACGGCAGCAACGGTCTGTCTCAAATAGTATTTACGGCGGCAAGATCCTGTCGTAAATAAGTTGTTATAAAAATTTGACACTTTTATTTTTATCACGGCGGCAAAAGTGCTTTTTCAAATACCATAATTGACTATCATAAAAAATAGAAGATATATTTACGACGACAACGACGCTGTCACAAAAAAAAATAATTTTTTTTAATTATTATGGATCATTCATAACCAATATTATATACCCTGATCATATATACACTCCATAATACAATTTTTTTTTGTGGGGGAGGGGGTAGAGAACTTGAACTCTTGACCTCAAGAAGCAACTTTCACAATGTAAGGAGTACCATTAGACTAAAGAGTCATTCATATCCATACAACTACCTAATTTAATATATAGATAAACACAAAAGTAAATATAATCAACATTTTCAAAAACATAGCAATATTTTCATATAAAAAAAAAATAATCTCACGAGTTAAACAAAATATAAAATATGCACTTATAAAACATAACGATCTATGAGTACAAGAAATTAATGCAAAAAAATTGAACATCCTTCTCGAACCATCTACTCTCTCGATGATATCTGAAAAAATTATAAAATTATTGTTACAATATTGAAATAATATTTATATACATATATACACTAAATAACTAAAAGAAGTTAGAATATACATCAACATAGGGCCACACAATATTTCTCTGAACGGCTTGTCTAATTATGTAAATGGTATATAAACGAGTCATTTCATATACATTTATTATAACTGGTTTAACCAATACTTGATTCGTTTGTAATTGTATTGTGACGGGTCCACTCGTTTACTAAACAGGTGGTTTAAGAAAGGCTCAAACACATTAATTTTATGTCATGTTAACGGGTCGTGTCATATTTTGGCACCCCTAATTTTGATATAAAAACTTGACTTTATAAAGTTTAAGTTTTTTTTCCTTTGAACTAGAAATTGTCTTTTGATGTTAAACTACGTAATTTTATAAAATATTACTTGTAACATGAAAAATAGTTGTGATCAATACAAATTTTTTTTAGAATTTTTCTTCCTTAAATTATAAAATATTTTTTAATATAAAACAACATTTTAATGTTTTATGAAATATTCTATACGACGGGAAAAGTAACTGCCATAAATATAAAAAAAAATTTTGAATTTATAAAATATTATTTGAGTCAGGAAAAACAGTTGTCTCAAATACAAAAATTTCTTTTGAGTTTATGACACTGTTTACGACAGAAAAAATAACTGACACAAATATTAACACAAACACGCTTTTTGTGACGGCAAACATAACCACCACAAAAAAGTCTCAAATACGTCTTTTGTGACGGCAAACACAGTCGTCATACAAAATTTGTCACAAAAAGTTCTTATTCTTGTAGTGTTAGTTTTATAAGTATTTATTTTTAAAAGTATAGTGTAAGTGACTCATTTTTTTTATATTCTCTTAACATGTAATAATAGATAATACTTAAAAAATACTCGTGTCTTTAAAATCAAATAGAATTTTGTTGTTGTTTTATATTGTATGTGAACTCCAAAGAAGGAATATAGCTTAAAATTAAAAATTGTACACCTTGCTTCATGTTGCGAAGTATCCGCGAAGTATCCATATATTTAATTAATTATCGGATACGGATGATGTGTATCTGATACGTATCATCGAGTATCTTACGAGTATCGTATCCGATACGTCGACCTTGACGAAGTATCCATGCTTCATATATATATATATATATATATATATATATATATATATATATATATATATATATATATATATA